ACTAAAAGTCTCAGAAAATTGACAATGTGTGGTTTTCTCATTTTTGTCAGTTGTCAAGTATAAATCTAAACTTTGGCTTTTTGGCTCTCAAACGTAAAAGTTTGTTGCTTTTATCATCACACACTCATTTTCACTTTAGAGCAAATGTTTTTAAAGTGACATTAGTTTGAAAACGTCATCTCAGGCTCTGCAGACTAGAATTTTAACCTTTTCTAACATGATATAGATTAAAATGATTGATTAATATTGTTCTTGGGTGTCCTTTAATTAGATGCTTTTATATTTTTTAAAGTTTACTGTAGTCTGTGACGTCATATCAGTGTAACTAAGTATCGAGGAGCCGGTGCAACAGGTTCTATTATTAAAACTTTATCTGCGATCAGTTGCTACACGCAGAGAGAGCTTTGTACTTCCGTGTGTGTAAATCAGAAGTTTATTTCTGTTCTGAAATTTTAAAAGATCTTTTTATGTTTATTGATGAACAACGTTTTTGCTCTACAGATAATAAAGCAGCTGTGCTCGTCGTTCTTTCTGCTCAGATTGAAGTTGTCAAAGACGCCATAGAGGAAATTGAGCAGGTACACACACACACACACACACACACACACACACACACACACACACACACACACACACACACACCATTGATTCTCAAACCTTTCATTTAAAACAGGCCCGCAGTAAAAGACAGACGTTTCTCCATTTTTTTAGTTCTATCCAATTATATTTAGTTTCCTCATCTACTGTTTAGATCCATGTTTTCTTTGTCGTGTTGAAATCCAGATGATTCACTCGTCACAGTATGAATTCCCCTGAAACGAAAACAGTGTCGCACTTCCCGCTCTGAGTTTCACAACTGTATTTTAAAGTTTTGTCAGAAAACCCTGTCTCATACCTTGTCTATGTCTAAGAAGTAGTAGTAGTAGTAGTAGTACTTGAAAACCAGTTGGGATTTTTCAATCCATTTTACATTAATGTTAAACAAGTGTTTCCTTGATATTTGGGGTTTTCTATATTTTCTGTATTTTCATGGTAATGAGTTTGCCACCACACAGTGTTCTGTTCACAGAGTGTAGATATGAAGAGCCTCTCTTTCTCTCTGTCTCTTTCCTCTTTCACCTCCGTCTCCCAATCGGGTTGTAACCTCCGCCCGTCCGTCCGACCACCCGCCCTCCTGACCCCATCCCCTCTCACATTCTCCAGTCTATTGCTCCGGACCTTCTTCCTTTTCTCACCCATCTCATTAACACTTCCCTGCTCGCTGGCGGTTTCCCTCACTCTCTTACCCACCCTCAACCAAGTAAACAACTACAGACTTGTCTCTCTTCTTCCCTTTCTTTCCAAAGCACTTGAGCGTGCTATCGTTCATCAACCCTCTTCCTGTCTTCACCATAACAATCTTCTTGATCCTCACCAGTCTGGTTTCAAGGCCGGCCACTCAACTGAGGCCGCCCTCCTCGCTGTCTCTGAGCAACTTCACACAATCTGCAACAGCAGCCTAAAAATTAACCCCGACAAGACCGAACTACTTTTTCCTTCCAGTGAAAGTCGCCACCCACGAAACTGACTTTTACCAGCTCCGTGCCTGGAACCTGGGTGTGGCACTTAACAGTCAACTCTCCCTCACTGCCAACTTTACTGCATCAACTGGCTCGTGTAGATTCAGCCAGGAGATTCCCTCCTGGCTGAATCTACCCGCTAGTGCTATCTGACCGCTGCTGGTCTTTAACTTTAACTCCAGTCTACATCCAGGAAGTGGTCAAACCTTGCACCCCAGCCTGTCCACTCAGCTCTGCATCGTTCAGTCGGCCTGCTGCCCCCTCACTGCGAGCAAACCACCAAACAGAATCACGACTGTTGGCCGTCCTGGCTCCTAAACGGTGGAACGAGCTCCCCATTGACACCAGGACAGCAGAAAGTCTTCTTATCTTCCGCCGCAGACTAAAAACGCATCTCTTCTGACTACACGTCGATGAAGATGAGGTCTAAATATTGATTCTTGATGTTCTGGGTTTGTTTCCTCAGGTTGATGCACTTATTGTAAGTCGCTTTGGATAAAAGCGTCAGCTAAATAAAATATAATATGAAGGGCCTACATCTTTATCACTGAAGTACTCAACACCTTCATATTAGACAAACACAATATAACATTATGTTCGGAGGCTGATGTCAGGAGAAGGAGACAAACTTCACGATGAAGCAAAGTTGCAAAACAGATCAAAATTAGAGATGGATGAAGAAGAACCCACTGAAAACTCCGCCCCCTCTCTCCACAGGCCTTATCTGAGGTCCAGGACCCGTTCAACGATGTCCTAGACGACGACCAGGAAGGGGACGAGCCTCGAGGAAACCAGGACACATACTGGTCAGACAAGGACCGGCGTGTGATTGGTCCGTGCCAGGGCCTGATAAAGGCGTCAGCGGCCTGCCTGAGGAAGCTGACGTCAGCCATCAAAGCCAACGGTGACGTCACCACGTCTCAGAATCTGTCCCAGCTCGACGACCTGGCTGACATCACCAAGGAAATAAGCCCTGGGTAGACACAGACACACACACACACACACACACACACACACACACACACACACACAGTATTAAGTGTTGCGTACAGCAGCACGTCAGCAGCACGGACGTCACAGCAGCCGTGCAGAAGTTTTTACACTGGTTCTAAATCAAATATCTGATTTTCAAAATGAACACACGGCCATGAAGACAAACATCTGCCTGTTTCTGTCTTTCGTCCTCAGTGTTGATGATCTGGCTCTGTGTCTGTACCCGCCCATGGACTACAGTGGAGTGGAGAGCAATGTAGGACAACACCACACCCTGAGCACACGCTGTGTAAACTGGTTCACTGCGTTTATTCAATTCAATTTTATTTATATGGCGCCAAATCATAACAAACATCATCTTTATGTCTTTACATAGAAGGTCAAGACTTTGAAATCGTATCGATATAGAGAAACCCAACAGTTGATGTTAATGAGCAGCACTTTGAGACTGTGGAGGAAAAACTCCCCCGTTAACAGAGAGAAACTTCTAGAACCAGACTCAGTGTGGGCGGTGGGTGAGCAGAGAAACATCGGGAGGGAGGGGGGGGAGTTTATTGGCTGTTATTATGTTTGTGGGTGTGACAGACTTTTTCACAGCTGATCACCTGAGACAGATGTTTATGTCAGGACGGAAGTTGTTGTTTGCATGTTCTGTCTACATTTTAAGTATTATATTAAGTTTATTTGTACTTAATAAGAGTTAATTAATAATGAATCTGTCGTCGAGTCAGTGCTAACATGAAGGTGAACTAGAGGTTTGTAAGTGTTCAAATAAAATCTGCATACTCTGACCAGCTGAACATTTTTTTCGATGACTCACATTTATAATTTCCTTGATCACGCTCTTAACCTTTAAATCTGTTGCAGTCGGAACAGGTTAGGTAAAATAATATGAAGTGAAAGAGTAGTTGCTCCTTCGTTGCATGTAAGTGGTTTAATGTCCTCCCCACTTTATACGGTTGTGTCTCAGCCCCTTTCCTCGTCACACATATCATATTTCCAAATATTTAAATATATAAATATTTCAAAAATAGTAAAATGAACATCAAAATAAAAGTGTGTTTCTCTTCAGGTGACTAAATTGGCGGCACTGTTAAAGAAAGTTCTGGAGATCATCAGGTAAGATTCACTGACACGGTCGTTAAAAAAAAAGAAAAAGTTTGTGAAACATTCAGGTGTTGGTTCATGACTCCGGGGGAGAAAACATTTTTTTCTCAGGGAGAGTCGAGTGTTGTGTTCGTGGAGGTTTGAGAAACGAGTGGGTGGTTCGTCCGAGTTCATCTTATCAGTCTGATCTGAAAGAAAACTGATCCCGGCCAGTTTGTTCCTGTGAAAATGTGCCACACGGTTGTTTCTTTTCTTCACTTATCTTTTCCCCTCCTCTCTCTGTTCCTCCAGGTCCAGTCACGTCTGCGGCGAATCAGAGCTGAACTGGGTTCAGTTCTTGGACGGAGCCGTCGACCACAACCTGCAGAAAGCCAAAGACCTGATTCAGCAGGACAGCTAGTGTTGCTGTGCAGTTAGAAGGGTGTGTTTTGAGGTTTTGTTTGTTTGTGTGTGTGAGAGTGTGTGTGTGTGTGTGTGTGTGTGTGTGTGTGTGTGTGTGTGGATTTGTTGGGAAATAAAGTGCCTGCATGTATACGACAGACAACGATTAAAAGTCGACATGTCTTTAAATTAAATCTGTGGAGAGCAGTTTGATTATGTAACTCTTAACACTTCGACATGTAGTTAATCTGCTTTTGACCATTTGCCAGGTGCACACAAACACACACCACACACACACACACACACTGCCCCAGGTATATTTCTCTACCAGTCGGGTTCGTTAAAAGCGTTTAATCTCTGCAGTCACACGTTGATCTGCGGTGACAAGCAGCAGATTGAGAAGATCGTAGAAAAGGTCAGATGTAAAAGTGACAGCTTTACGATTTACACTTGGGCAAAGATGATGGATGATTCATCTGAGTTTCAGTTCGTTCATCTGCAGCTCATTGTTTTCACCCAGAGTCATTAAAGTAAAGCCAGCGTGGAACTGGAAGTTTCTCTAGAGGTCTATGAGGAAATGACTCCTCACTTTATAACGTCAGTAAACATTTAACAACAAGCAGTTTATGTCTCAATCTCTAGTTTCAAGTCTTCTTCAAAACAGCTGATGTTAATTTTGTAACTTTGGATCCATTTAGAGTCAAATACACGACGAAGCACTTTGCGTTAACAGACTTAATGTGGATGTTACTCGGGTGGGAATCTCCAGATGATTCACTTTTGGAGTCGATGGGTCAAAGGTCCAGGTCAACACCCAGATGGAAGAGGCAGCGTTTAAACACCCAGGAGTTAAAAATCAAAGCTGCCAGACACGTTTCTCTTGGCTGAGGAAAAAAAAGGGGATGGGCTCGGCAGGTATTTTAAAATCCAACATTGCGGAGTCACCTGTCAGTGAGCATCTGAGCGTCTGCCCGGGCTCCTTCACTCCTGCATCTTCTACTGTAGAGACACAGCTCCGCCGACATGACAGAGGAGGTTCAGACGGGCTCAGCCGACATGACAGACCAGGTTCAGATGGGCTCAGCCGACATGACAGACCAGGTTAATGAATCTAGTAAGTACAACTACAGTATTTTACCAAGTTTATCATCAGCGTGGGTCTCTGCACCAACCTAGATGCTACACACACACACACACACACAAACACCAATGTGACTTTTTAAATTCAACGTCTTTGCAATCCATTCATGTCGTCACCTGAGGTGATTACTTGTTTCAGCATGTTCTGGCAATGATCACATTTGAGAAGTTAAGTTAAGCAAAGGGGATTAAACCTGCACTGTGTAGTAATGTTGTGTGCGTCTGTATCATGACACGACACGACCACGTGCGTGCAACACAACAATCACAACAACCATACACGTTATGAAAAGAGCAGACGCCATTTAAAGGAGCATGTAAATGAGCTTGAGTTGTAGAAGTAGAGGATCGAGATCTGGCTGAGTCTTTTATTTTCCTTTATTTAACAGGAAGCTCCTATTGACGTACAATAGATCTTCTGTCAGGGGGTCCTGACACAGAAACATAAACGAGCACCTCTGAGAGCTGAGTGTCATCACAAAGTCACACTCTGCCAGGGCCTCAGCACCTTGCCTGAGGCCCTGGCAGAGTTACCAGGCGTGACTTTTTACACGTTCAGCCAGTTCCGTGAAGTAAATCTGGGACACACCACACCCTCAGCCGATTAAAAGCATTTAATCACACGAAGTCTAATGTACCTGGTAAGTGTGGTTTCCATTGTTAAGTCGACGCCTATATAATCATCCAGGATTGACACCGTAATGTTTATATTCAAACCCGGATGACCTTTGACCTGCAAATCAAACTCATCTTTATAGAGAAATCAACACATTCACTTTGTGCAATCGAAGCGTTTTACATTTGCTCGAAGACACGAACACGATTTTTTGAGTTGCATTTGTATCGAACGTGCTTTTTTTTTTGTTTTCAATATGTGAGACATACAAACGCTTGAGTTCCTTTCTTCGTTTCTTTTTTTTTTCAGATTATGAAATTGATTTAAAATTGTTTTTACTGAATGCATCAAACCATCTTATCCTTAGTTTTATTCTGGCTTCATGAATTTAATATGAGTAAGTAATAAGAGCTGAAAATAAAAAATTTTCTTATTGTTATAGATAAAGTATGAACTTTTTATTTACTAGCTGCTCTTTAATAAAAAGTAAATGGAAGTCAAATCAAATAATTAAATGTCAATTTTTCATATCAATGTTTTAATCGATTTAAATGAGTTAAATGTTTTTACCTGAGTTACCTAAGTGTTTTAAATATTTTCTTTTCGTCAGTCTTGAAGGACTTGGACCTCCACTGTGAGACCAACAACGTTTTACACCACACCAGTGAGATCTCAGTGAAGGAGCTGTTTGTGAGGCGAGGTCAACCCTTCACTCTGACCCTCACGCTGTCGCAACCTTTCCAACCTGAACTCTACCCGCTCAGCGTCACCGCAGCGACAGGTCAGTCTTTCATTTGGTTCGTTTTGGACAACGAGGTCAGTGCTGCTCTGCAAAACCCAGGATGGATGGATGATGGATGGATGGATAAACAGTATTGTTCTAACAGTAAAAGAGTGTTTGGTTCCTCTCTACAGGTTGTCATTATTCAGAGGAACACGGCACAGTTTCGTACTTCGGTATCCCCGACATCGTGACGCGTTCACCATCAACGAAGGCTGTGTGGAAGATAGAGCTTCAGGAGAAGAAGTCGTCCCCGAAGAAAGGCGTCTTGGTTCTGAGCATCACGCCTCCGGCTAACGCCCCCATAGGAGAGTATATAGTGTCCGCGCAATACAGGGATGAGGAAATGTTGCTCGCAATGCCGGTGGTGCTCTTCAACCCCTGGTGTCCTGGTAGGTTCATCATCAGTTTCCATGGCAATGAATCAATCTACCTACCTTCATACCTTCCAACCCTCGTACCTAGTTACCTACCTTCATACCTACCTACCTAGTAACCAGTCTACCTACCTACCTACCTACCTACATATCTACTTACCTACCTATTTACCTACCTACCTACCTACCTACCTACCTACCTACCTACCTTCATACCTACCTACCTACCTACCTATCTACCTATCTACCTATGTTCATAACTACCTTGATACCTACCTATGGACCAATTTGTCTATCTCTACCCATCTCTCCAGATGACACGGTCTATCTAAGCGATGAGAAGGAAAGACAAGAGTATGTGATGAATGAACAAGGACTCATCTACAAAGGGAGTGGAAACTACATCTTCTCCCAGCCGTGGGACTTCGGACAGGTAAACGTACCTCACACCACAGGGTGACCACATCAGGGATGGTGCTGTCCATCCTGACGCCAGCCTCTGTTTTGACCAACACTGCATTTCCACACATTCTGTGTAAATCACAGTCAAAGTGCAGCAAGTTTGAGGTTGTCGTGGTCACATGGGCTCTTGCTGTCAAGATGCACTGACAGTTTGGTTTTCAAAGCAGTAAATAATCTTATGATCAATTCAATACCCGGTTGTTAAACGCCACTGAGTTCTATATGTTGTAATTCAAATATCTTTAAATTCATAGCACCGGATGTCCAGCTTTGAATTGCATAACTTCAAATTTAACGTCTTTAAGCTAATTAAGCTCATTGAACGTGAGCATTTTGAATGCATCTTACTTTGTTTTTTTTTGTCTCTGTTCTTGTGTCTTCTTGTCCAGTTTGAGGAGGACATGGTGAGGATTAGTATGAAGATACTGGAACTCAACAACAAACACTTGGAAGACCCCGCTGAAGATGTCTGCAGTCGCTCTGATCCCGTCTACGTCGGCCGCGTTGTCAGCGCCATGGTGGGACATGATCAGTGACATTCTCATTAGCCCCAGCTATGCTATTTCATGCTAAACCAAGATCGTGAACATCCTAAACAATGTATATGCTTAGCATCTGCATGTTAGCATTGTTGTGAGCAAGTTGGCGTGTTAAAAATAGCCACCTGGAATTATGAAGGTAAATATTTGTTCAATAATTGAGTGTGCTGTGATACTATGTTTAATATTTAAATCAAACATTCATATGGTGTTTGGACGATATACTGTGTGTAAAGAAATGACACCAGGCACAACACGAGTGGTGTGAATCACAACATTTCAACCCGTTGTTATAGCAACAGATGACTAATTAAAGCAAAATGTACCAGAGAAATGAAAACTTGGACATAAGTCGGTGTGATGAGAACTACCGTTAACATGGAGGAGTCATGGGTTCATTGTGCTACGGTGACAAGAAAAAGTTTGTAAAAAGATGTAATGAGCAACCGATGCTTGAGTGTCAGGCTCCGACCGCCAGCTCATATCTGATAGAGTAAAACAACAATAAAGTCATATCAGAAGAATGAAATCAAATTTTTTCTGTTTTTTTTTCCAGATCAACAGTGAAGACGACCATGGCGTCCTGTTTGGACGGTGGGGGGGTTCATATTACGACGGGTTTAAACCCTCTCACTGGTCCGGCAGCCACGCAATCCTCAAACAGTGGTACGACAATGAGTTCAAGCCAGTCAGATACGGCCAGTGCTGGGTGTTTGCTGGCGTGATGTGTTCAGGTAACGTCCGACTGTCCAGCTCCTCATCGCTCCCCCCCTGGGACAACATCTGTACAGATAGATTAGATTCATTCTGAAGTCATCGCAGACTGAACTGATGTTGTTCTTGAGACTTCAGTGATAATTTAAAGCCATCGAATAAGAAAAATATATCAAATGTCTGGTTTCAACTTGTTTCATGTGCAGAATTTCCTCGTTTTCTGTTTTAGATCTTTATAAACTGATTATTATTGCTATAGATAATATTTTATTATTAATGCTGGATATGGAATCATGTTTATTACCCATGGGTTGAATGGCTCATAACGCCACCTAGTGTTTCAGATTGTCTCAGGCCTTGCACGTTTGTTGCTCACACAGAAGGGGAATGTCTCTGCTTCAAGACACTCAAACAATTCTAATTATATATCTTTTAGCTATGAATATCACGAGTGGACAATTAGACCAACATGTATAATTCACTCCCACTTAAAACGCATCTCCTGACTCATCATATTGACACTGGTCACATGACTGTCGGTATAATCCTGGATATGTGACTTAAGCCTTTTTAGTTGCCTCCCCTCTGTCTTTGGCACCAGGTGAGTTTCTCACCAGGTGAGTTTCTCACCAGGTGAGTTTCCACCAAAACAAACTTCTCAGCTCAATGAGAAATGTTTTTAAAACAAGTCAGAGTTAATGAGATAATGTCAGGATGAAAAAGAGGAGCCGTACAGACGAGTTAAAATTAAACAAGATTGGCAACAAAAACCACCGATCCCTCCTGCGGCTGTACCCAGGCTCCACCCTTCACCTAAATGTTCCAGAGACGTTTCTGTCGCGAACGAGTCCGGCTTGAAAATCTCCTTCTACTCAGTGTGCGAACATTCGTGCAACCTTTTTATTCACGTTCCTCAAATCTTAGAAACTGAACCTATGTAAGGACGTTTTATTGATTTATTGTTTGTGTGTTGAATCATTGCTACAGCAATGCATTAAAATAAAAAAAGTTCAGCTCCACAGGCGGCAAAGTTCAAAATCAACACACTGGTACAAACTTATATAAATGACTGCAAACTTTGTGTTGGTTCCAGTGATGCGTCTGCTGGGCATCCCCTGCCGCGTGGTCACCAACTACTCGTCAGCCCACGACACCAACAGCAATCTGATCATCGACGTGTACCACTCAGACTACGGTGTCGCAATGAAACGTTCTCCTGACAGTGTTTGGTGAGATGCTGCAATTTTCTTACTATGAGAACGCACACACAGCGAGGAGCGGGCGAAACAACAAAAAAATATACTTTCATTTTCCTTATGTACAGCACATCACTTACCTGCCCAGGTCATGACCTCGCTGGCTACCTGACGGCAAAGTAGAACGTAATTCCCTTTTAAAATGTACCTGAACCTGAAAATCACTGTTTTATGTATAAGAAACCTGTTATCTTATATCGCATCCCGCAGAGAAACATTAGCATCTGTTTGGAGTCATGTTTGTGTCTGATGAAAGTTCAAATCCCTTTGAGCTCCTGCTTTGGTCTCCACCCACCAATGTGGCTCTCTGGAGGCCAAATCCTCGACTTTCTTGCTGCATGGTGAGGTTCTCTAAAAACGAGCTAAAACGAGGGCTCATGAGCTAATGCTAATGTTTTCTTCTGCGTTTGTTTCTTTGTATGTTCGGTAGAAGGATTACACAAAAACTACTGTACGGAAAAACGGGTGTTTTTGCATTTGGCGTTTTTCTGGATGAAAATAATCAGACATGCTTAAGGGACTGATAACTATGAGTGTGTGTAATTTAATCAAATTAAGTATTTAAAAATGGTTTCATGAAGGAACCGTTGGGCCTTGTCGGCGGTGCGTTCTGCTGAGTTCCCCTCTAGATCTTTGTGGGTTCATCCATGTTCACTGTAAAGAGGGAGTTGTCAGGTGAGCTGTGCCAAGGCTCTTGACTGATTGCTTATTTTGTCAAACAGTGTGGTAAAGTGCTCCGGGTGTGTCCTTCACAGATCAGTGCCACCGCACACAGAGGCAACTGTAAAAAATTAAGCTCAACAACAATTTACAGTTGTTGCCAGTTTTTTTTTAGGTCAGTGGAGAACAATCATCGGGCCATAAATCACCATGTCAGAACCTGCTCTAAAGATTTCTGTTCAGTGTGGTTTTCTGTATTTCATTGGCTTGTTAACATCTACCATTTGTTTGGGTGTGGCAACTCAGTGTTGCCACACCCATACAGTGTCATTCCCATGATGCTTTGAGGCTTTTCAAACACGTCAGGTTACAGTGGAGAATTTACCACTCCTGCTTACACTGGACGTTTATCAAAAGAACGAACCTAACGAGATCCACGCTGAGGTCTACGGAGACCAGGAACATGAGCTTTGAGAAGTGTATCTATTAAAGGTCCAGTGTGCAGAAGGTAGTGACATCTAGTGGTGAAGTTGCATGCAGCAACTTTTGACGATATGAGCCGTTAATTACCACGTCACCAGACTCTTAAAGACCCAGAATAACAATTTTCAGGTTCTGTTGTGTGGGTGTTTTTCTTCTTCAATCAATCAATCAATCAGAACTTTATTTATATCGCAGCTTTCAAACTAAATATTTAAAAATGAGATCTGTGCACTAAAACGTTGATGATAGTAAAACAGTAAAATGTTAATAAAACAAGAAAGAGAGAAATAAGAGGAAGAAAGGAATTGTAAAGGAAAGGTGACACTGAAATATAAAAATTAAAAGAGTTCATACATAAAGACTGATTTAGTTTTCCTTATGCATGACCCGCAGCATTTGACTCCTCTTCACAGTTTGACATGGCAAGTGCATCTGAGAGAGGGAGTCTAGGCCACCTGAATATCTGAGCAGCCGCTTCATTATTTAAGACTTTATAAAACACCTCAAGTATTTTGGCACCTCGTTGTTTTACACTTCTCCTGACTTCCTGTGGTCAAACACCACCCTCACTGCTTTATTTTAGGATGTTATACAAAAACCGCGCATCAACAGGCTGCAATGGTCTATGACATTTTCAGATTTCTACTTTTAAACCTGGCAAAGTATAACTGAAAGACCAATTCTATTCCATCTTTAGTGATTCAAGGTCTTCAACTACACAGAAAATCCCACATAACACTACTCTATATAAAGATACACCACCCCTCTATGGTGCCTGTCTATAGTTACAGTTTATTCTTGCACTTNTAAAAAGATAAATTGTAAATAAAACCTGATAGCCAGGTTGAAAAGTTTGGTTTAAGTTCGAGCTGCTGCAGAATCTGAGTGATGTGTTGTGTTTCAGGAACTTCCACGTGTGGGTGGAGGGGTGGATGAAACGTCCAGACCTGGAGGAAGGTGATAAATACGACGGCTGGCAAGTTCTGGATCCGACACCACAGGAGACGAGCAACGGTAACGACCCGGTCGTCTCTCTGCCGTCAGCATTTTCTTTCCTGCTCTGATGACCTTGGTTCTGGTCCTGATGTCACATGCTGACCTCTTTCTGCTCTGAGATTTTATTTCCACACATTTTAACACATGACATCAAAGCTGCTTCATCAGATTCTTTTATCAGGAAGAAGTCAGAAAAGTTGAAATCCTACAGATTCTTGCGTTGGTTTCATTGCTCACAGACTATTTCTTTTTATGTGATGACTGTTATCGTTTCTCTTTGCGCAGGTGTTTACTGCTGCGGTCCGGCCTCAGTCAAAGCCATCCGGAGCGGAAACATCGACCTCAAATACGATATCCCGTTCATCTTCGCTGAGGTCAACGCAGACTGTGTGGACTGGCTGGTCAGTGAGCAGATTCACTCAAAAACACTGCGGTGATGCAGTCTGCAATTTCTTACCTCCATGGTTATGTTTTCATCTGTGTTTTATATCGTGTTTCCTGAAATAGAACGATTTTGTGGTTTCCTTGTGTGTTTCCTGTCAGATCAAAGCTGACGGCTCCAAAGTGAAGATCTTCTCCGACACTGAGAGAGTCGGTCAGAACATCTCCACCAAGTCTGTCGGCTCCAAAAAGAGGAAGAACATCACCGACAACTACAAGCACAGGGAGGGTGGGTTCACTTCTGCAGCAGCTATTCAAAACGAGACGATGTCTTTGCATCACTGTTCTAATGCACCTGACAATAGGACTGATTCCAGGTCAGTTGCTTTCATGATCAGATCAAAAGACAAGACTAGGCTGTGCATGAGTCAGGTCGTTCTCCCGGATTCCACAGACTGTTTATAGAAATGGACGTAGATTCCAAATCTGGAAAGTGAAGCCAGTCCCTGAAACAGTCATTCTCTTGAAAGACCAGCAGAGGGCGACTCCACTGCTTGTTTCTATTTCTATTTCTCACTCACTCAACATTTTCCTCAGGAGTTTATGTCTCAGTCTCGTTTAAAGTCTTCTTCAATACAGCTGATGTTCATTTTGTAAATTATAATGCATTGGGGAGTGGATACCGTGTGATTGACAGCTAGTACCGTCCAATGGGTGTGTGCAGTGTCCTCGAGCTCTTTGTCAGGCTCCTCCCCCGCTCCTCCAAATATGATCATTTCTTGTTTGAAGAAAAAACCTTTGAGAAACATTTATTCAACGTGTCCTCTGATCGAATCTGATCTGCCTCCCTCACAGGGTCCGAGAAGGAGAGGGATGTCTTCAAGTACGCCCTCACCAGAGACTACACCGTAGACGATGAGGAGGACATGGAGTTTGAAGAGGAGGAAGGGAACGAGGAAGGGATGGAGGACGAGACGGCAACGGAGAACGAGACGGCAACGGAGAACGAGACGGCAACGGAGAGCGAGACGGCAACGGAGAGCGAGACGGCAACGGAAAACTCAGGAGGAGCAGCTGAGGTCACCCCGGAGGTCATTGCTCCACCACCTGAGGTGTCCATGAAATTTGAGGTGGTAAGTCAAAGAAGCTGTGAATGATTTTTGTGTTGTGTTATATTTTTGTCTCATATAAACTCTTCTTATAACAGAAACTGCACTGGTCGGTGGAGGGGAGTTTTTGTCGAGCTGTAGAAAATGACTAATTCAGCTGTTATTAAAACCACATAACCTGAAAATAAACATATTTTTTAAATGTAGGACAGATCCATGTATGACTGAACATTTATCCGCCTCCGTGTCTTATTCCTACTTTATTTGTTGCAGTGTTCCAAGCCAAGGAACGGCAAGGACGTGAGCATGAAGCTGGTGCTGCACAGCAAGAGCACTGCCTCCAGGCCGCTGACCATCAACATCAGCGTCCAGGCCATGGGCTACAACGGCTCTCCGGCCGGGAACATCCAGAGCAAGGTGAAGGAGGAGACACTGCAGCCCGGGAAAGGTGGGTGCTCTTCTGGATCCTGGAGGTTTTTTAAAAAATACTGTTCTATTAAATATAACTTTAAATCTCCTCCAGATCTGTCCGTCCCCATCCTGGTCCCGTTCTCGGCCTATCATAAGCTCATGGTGGAGTGTGACAGCATGAAGGTTTCAGCCTTGGTCACTGACAAAGAGAAGCCGGACTACGTCTACCTGGCGGAGAACGACATCGTGCTGCTGGATCCTCACATGTCCATCACTGTCAGTGGAAAAAAAAACCTTGTTGTTTCTATAAATCATTTCAGACATCCGTCAAACGGTTCATTTACAAGATCTGATTCATTGTTCTGCATCTTCTCAATCTTCTTAATGCATGATGGGTAGTGTAGTTTTCGGCAGGGTGACGTTGAGCGTAGTCGAAAACAACTTGTTAAAAAGCTAAAATGTGTGTGTTCCAGGTTACCAGTCCGACCAGACTGCACCAGGAAACCAGTGGAACGGTGGTTTTCAGGAACCCAGCAAACGAGAAGCTGACGGGATGCAAACTGACTCTGTCTGGAAGTGGCACATTTAAAGACGAGGTCGAGTGCAAGTAAGTGTTTGTTTTATACGAATGATGAAACAGCTCATCTGTCAGTGCGAAGGATAAAACAAGAACCATGATCGTCAGATGTTTAAAGACTAAAGCGCTAATTGATGACTTCATTTATATTAAATTCATGGTGGTCACAAATAAAATTCCTGGAGCATTTCCTAATTATAAGAAAAGTTTTTATTTTATTCAATTAATAATCCACTAAAACAATTCAGAATTCAAATATATTCATTTTCTGTTATGTTTTTATTACTAATTTCTCACACTGGACTCTTTACTGCTCAAGTATTGTCTCATGTTGTTTATACAATTTGTCACAACACATTTTATATCTTCTTTACAGCACTTTATTGATTTGCTGGTGAACTGTGATATACGTATAAAATTACAAAAATTTCATTTACAATGTTTAAATTCTATTGTCAGGGCTCTGTTAAACTATCGTTAAACTAATAAACGTTGTAAATGTAGAATTTCTCTCCATCCTTTGTGTCTCTCACAGGCTCCCTGACCTGAGCCCATTAAACCAGTTCCGTATCAAGTTCTTCTTTTATCCCTACAAGACGGGAGAGAAGACAATCATGGCCGACTTCGACTGCTCCACCTTCAGAGACATCCAGGCCAATTGCAAGGTCAAGGTCACAGAGTAACGTCTCAACACTGCAGAGCCGCAGTCTCGTTCAAAGGTCGCTAGGTAAAAGGTTTTTAAAAAATTTTTATTCGCAGCTTTAAGGAGATTTATTGTGCTCATGTTCAGATGTTTTCAAATGTCCAAAACATGCAGCGGAGGACATATATACATATACACATATACACAATACAAAAGCTTCCAAAGCTCGTCGTCTTTCTAAGTTGACGTCTTCTACTTTTTCATCTTGAGGTTTGTCCCGTGTCAACACGCCCACTTGCTCGTGAATGTTCCGGACATTTCTCCGCTGTATTCTCACGTGGACTCACTCGGACATTTGCACTGCAAATGTCCGATTTCAGTGCAGGTCTGAAAACAGCTCAACAAAGACAACACAACTTTGTACAACACTAGAGGAGAGAAACACTGAACGAGCATCATAAGTCTCCTTGAAGCCATCACCTTCTGAAGGACAGCAGATATCACACAGTCTCTGGGGTTTCATTCATTCATCTCATTACTTGGTTTTACTTCATTCAGTGACTTTTGCAAGGGCGATAATAAACTTGTGGTTCTCAGTGAAACGTTGGTTCAGGGTAAAAGCTTTTCAACAAACTGATGTGAACTTTCTTGCAGCATTACACTTTTATATTTAGATAAATACTTTAATGACAAAGTCCGGTGACAGACCAAAGCTGAAAAACATTTTACGCCTGAGTTTGATCCCAGCTGATGTTTAAAGTCTGATTCTGAAAGCTGCCGTAGATTCTCATCAGAATCAGAAGAAAATTCATTTGTGACTGAGAAACAAAGTTATTCGGTTGTTTTACACTTGAAGAAATATCTCCTGCAGCGATCTCCAGGTAACAGCGGCCTCTGCTGGACGGACAGAGGATGAACTCTTCATTCTCCAAAATAGAAACCGAACAACTGCTGCTCCCTGTCTCATGATGCCTTCAGGAAAACATGGTAGAAAAGGGTTTTTACCTCAGGGGTAAAGCAGATCGTCTGTTATCCAAAGATTTGAGGATAAGTCAAGTCAAGTTTATTCATATTGCACATTTAAAAACAACCGCAAATAAATGAATACACCTTTAAACGTACAAGGGATCTTCACCATCTTGTCCAATATTCTAAGATACAATAAAACAAGATGAAGACAACTTCAAAACACTAAAGAATGAGTGATAAAACATTAATATCGATGAAATTACTAATACTAATCTTCTTTTTACTTTTTAAAATCCAGATTACAAGGTGATACCTGATGGTCAGACAGTGAAAGTAATCTCTAATTGTTAAAGGGTGATGAAGTCAGCAGAATGGCGCCCTCTCCTCTCCTCTGCCCCAGAATACAGGTTCACATCTTCATTGATTGTAGTTTTCAGTCAGCACATTGAAGCATCTCTTGGTTCCTCACTCAGTCCAACATTAGATGTTTGTGTTTCCTTTTCATCACAGACTCTGGTTTCTTTGTGTTCACATTTTCTTGTGTTTCAAACAGTGCTCTGCTTGAGAATGATTTTTTCTTTCTTTCATAAAGATCTGAACTGAAACGCGTTGATTGAATGCTGTGTCCGATTATTGCTTGAGAAATTACACAAAAACAATAAACAGTATAATAACGCCGACAGGAACACTGCTTTGCATAATCAGTAGTTTTGCTGCTTTATTTTATAGGTTTATAAAATCTTTATGGGTCCCAAGGTCTTGGACTGTTATTATGGTTATTAAATTATTTGAGTGAAGTTTATTATCAACCTGAACTAAGAACTAATGTGAATATTTAGTGAAAACGTGTGATCTTTGAATTGTTAGTGTCGATTCTTGTTTGGAGCTGAGAATACGCAAGTCAGGAAAAATCTAGAGCTGCACGATGAACATCCTCAGACTTTAGAATGTCTCCATCAATATCAGGTAAAAATGTTTTATGAGAGAAGAAGCTTCAGGAGGAACAGCAGGGAGGAATCATTCCTCTGAATAAGTCTATAGATTGTGAACAGCCCAGTCTATTTTCTGTTCTTAAAACAAAACAACCTAAAGATCTATTCACTTATGTAAAGAAGCAGCTCTGAAAATAAACTGGTGACACCAACCAGTAACCAAACACTCTCAACACCAAACAATTACACAATAAAACAGAAACACAACACACACAGCAGCAGATCTGAGACCAGGTCAAAAGAAATAACCTGAGCTCTGAAGACTGGCTGCTTTTATTCTGGAGCTCTGGGCTGTGATTGGCTGATGAGGAATGTGGGGGGGGCTACACAGGTGGCAGCCATCATCATCATCATCATCAGCACCTGAGAGAGAGAGAGCGAGAGAGAGAGAGAGAGAGAGAGAGAGACAGGGGGGAGACGGAAGGGGGGAGGATGGGGGGTTCCAGTTGCAGCTCCTGACTCTGTGAACTATCCCTTTAAAAGGCCTTGATATCCCACAGCTGACTAAATATAGAACATGCAATTCCAGCACGGCCGCCAGGTGTCGCCCTGTGCTTTTCAAAAGTCCCACACTTCCTCTTGCCCTTGAACGCAGCGTTAGAGGCGAAATGAAACTGAGTGAAGTAAAGAAGAAGAAGAAGAAGAAGAATAGACGCAGGTGGACTAAAGAAGAAGAAGAAGAAATAAACTCAATAATAAGAAGTAACTTAGAGTAGACTAAAGAATAATAATAAGTTAATTAGACTAAAGAAGAAGAAGAAAAAGATTAGACGCTTCTACAGTGCGGTTCTCGAGGTGAGCGCGGGAGGTGAGGTGGAGGATCAGAGGAAAGAAAAAAAAAAAAAAAAAAAGAAAGAAGAGGAAAGTAGAGATACCAACCATGAGCTGCAGGTTCAGTGCTGGGCGCAGTGTCTGAGCACACA